AATGTTTATTTATTTTGAGAGAGAGCAGGATGGGGGGTATGGGGGGAGGCGGGGTAGAGAGAGGGAGAGAGAATCACAGGCAGACTCCATGCTTAGCACAGAGCCTGACATGGGGCTCGATCCCACGACCCTGAGATCATGACCTGAGCCGAAATCAAGAGCTGGGTGCCTAAGTCACTGAGCCACCCGGGCGCCCCAATAAATTCTTTCTGTTCTTGATGAGACTTTTAGTTTTCTTCAGTTAAATGGTTGTTGGGAGACAGTCTGCCACACCCCTCTCCCTGCCCATCTGGCAGAGGTTCCATATAGCCCTGGCTCTTAATCCCTGTGCCGGCCAGGCCAGGTGGGATTCTCACGGTGGGCAAAATCCTCCTGAGCTCAGGACACAGCCAAAGTTCAAGGGAAACAGCCCACCGTGAGTGAGAGTCTGCATCAGAATTAGAGGCCGTGAGGGCAGAAAATGGAATTATCAGATGGAGACTGTGAAATAAGTACGTTCAAAGTGTAGAAGTGAGAGAAGTGAGGAAAGAAAATGTTGAGACTAGGCAGACGAGAAGAAAAAAGCAACAGATGGAACTTGTAGAACGAAGGGTATAGCTGTTGAGCTCTAACACGGAGTAGGTGGACTACTAGTTCCTAGCCACGTAACGACACTGTGGTCCTCCGAAGACGTTTAACAACGCAGCATCGACACCTGTCGTGTTGAGTTCCGAAACCTTGAAGCAGTTGGATGTGGAGTACCACTGTGAACGGGGTCTGAATGGCTGTTCAGAAAGAAGCGGGGATTGGCCGTGTGTACCCTGCCCCTAGTCTCCTGTGGCTCCTCCTTGGCGGGAGGACTCTGCCGCGCTGGCCTTCCCTGCTTGGTGCTCCCAGCCGCTCCTAGGCTCCAGCATTGCCCCTGTGAGTTTTCTGTCTCTTATTTACTGACTTTCCCTCCCACCCTGAGAACTCCCGAGGAGCGAGTCTGGGCTTCTCTCGCAGGTGTTCTGTGCGAGCTCCGGGCTGCAGGCCAAGCCCACACCTTGGGCCAGTTTCTGCCTCACCCCAGTCCTGTCTTGGTCTGTGGCTCCCCTGGGGGTCAGTGCTCCAGTCCCTCTGGGGTCCCTGTCCTGGAGCTGGACCCGAAAAGAGTCAGGTGGGCCTGGGAGGTGGGCTCAGCAGAGTGTGACTGGCAGTGACTGGGAGGGTTTTGAAGTCTCCGTGTGGGGCTGATCTTGTGTCGGAAGCTGACCTGGGGGGAGACGATTGAGGGGGAGCAGTGGCTGTGAAATGGGGGAGAGTGCTATGGAAGAATGAGGTGGCGCGGGTTCGGAAGGGAATCTGCTTCCTGTCCCGGTGCTTCTGAACGTGGAGCTCATGTTTCTAGTCGCTGCCAGTCCCGAGTCTGAGACGGTCTGCACGCCAAGAGCCAAGCCCATTTGGTGGTTTGAGGGGGGCGGGAAGACGTGCTGCCTTAGGGCCCCAGGGTCTGAGCTCCCACTGGCCCCCGGGCTCAGCTTCGGGGGGGGGGGCAAGGGTTACCTCTCCTAGGCCCTCTGAGCAGGAGCTGGCCCAGCCTTGCTCTTCTGAAGGCCCCCCGAGGGCTCCCCCTGCTTTGTGTCCGGCCTTACGTTTGCATTCTGGAGCCACAGGGAAGTCTCACGTCTTCTTTCCTTCTTAGGAATGGGCTTTCATGAACACTGATGTTTTTGCCGGGACCAAGATAGACCCCAGTGCCTTGGTGCAGAAGCTGGACCCAGACACAAGGAGCGTTGCTTCCATCAGGAGAGGTGAGAATGTGCGGCTAAGGTCTGGGTGTTTGTAGCACCGTGCCAGGCTGGGTTTAATGTGCTCACGTGTGGGCTGGGGCCAATTTCAGGTTAACCTATACGTTGCTTGTTTTTTATTTACATATTTATTATTTTTTATTAAAATTTTTTTTATTTTTTTTATTTTTAAACTTTTATTTTTTTTAATGTTTATTTTTGAGAGAGACAGAGACAGAATGCGAGTGGGTTGGGACAGAGAGAGAGGGAGACACAGAATCCGAAACAGGCTCCAGGCTCTGAGCTGTCAGCACAGAGCCCGACATGGGACTCGAACTCACTAGCTGCGAAATCATGACCCCAGCTGAAGCCGGACGCTCAACCGACTGAGCCACCCAGGCGCCCCTAAAATTTTTTTTAATGTTTGTTTACTTTTGAGAGAGAGAGCGCGAGCAGGGAAGGGGCGGAAAGAGAGGGAGAGAGAGAGGATCCCAAGCAGGCTCCACGCTGTCATCGTGGAGCTCGAACTCCGGAACCGTGAAATCATGATTCGAGCCAAGGTCAGGCGTCGGATGCTTAACTGGCCGAGCCATCCAGGTGCCCCGTCTTCAGGAGTTTTTTTTAAATTGAAGTTACTCTTCCAGAGCTGACAGATGTCTTCCCCCGCATGCCACCCTGTGGCCTCTCCTCCAGCCTGTCCCACCTCCCCCAGTGGTTGTGAAGCTGTTGGCCTTCTGCCCTGGGATGGGCTCTGCCTGTTTGGTCGTATTGGTCTGGGCCGGCATGCCGCCTGCCTCTTGGGGCACCGGGTCTCTCCCTGCACAGGCCGAGCGCTCTGCCGAGTGGGCGGGCGGCCAGGCGCGGGACGGGGCTGCTTGGCCCACGCTCTCACCTTCTCGTTTGCTCCACCCGGTGGTCCTTGTGAGCGAGTGTCGTGTTTGTGGCTGCATAGCTGTGGCTGTGTGCAGCCCAAGGTAGCAGAGGCTCAGCCTGGAGTGACCGAGCCCGGACAGATCTGTTGTCCGATGATGAGCGTCAGGCTCTTGCCACTTGCCGTGGCCCTTTGACGTCTCCCCTCCACCCAGAGGCGTGGCGAAAAGTAGCCGTGGAACGTGTGGCTTCTGTTCCTGTGGCAGCTGACCGACATCTCAGCGGGAGCCGTGTCCACTGAAGCGCAGGGCACACAGATTCCTACTTCCCTGAGAGGTGGGTGCTGCAGGGGAGAGGTCAGCCGGGCTGTCTGTGGGCACGGGGACCCCGAGTCCTGCGCCTGCTCCCGGCCTGCCTGTAACGGGGTCTCTGTGAGGGGCCGGCCCCAGGTGGAGACCCAGGGCAGAGAGTGGGAGAAGCCGTCTGTACGCCTGTGCCCTGAAGGTTCAGAGGGAGTAGTGGGGACGGAGCGTTAGTGCAGGTGTAGACCGGCATGGGACCCTGATGATCCGCATCGTTGGCTGCTGGATTTTGGAGCATCTGTTCACTTGGTCTGTCAGGTGAGCGTGGCATTTGCCGGGCAGGTGTGCCCCGCGGCCTGCCTAGGAGTCGCGTGGGGCTCCGTTAGCCGTGCTGGCCAGGCAGCGCTCCCGTGTCTGAGGGGCCGGCGCCCCTTGTCCCCTTCACGGATGGTGCAGGGTGGGGGGGCGTGACAGTGTAGGGGCTGGACTCTCCCTTTGCTGAGCTCAGATGATGTGGCCCCACCTGGGAGTGGGGTGACGGCAGGGCCTCCTTCTGGCACCGCTGGCCCGGTTCCCTGCAGGGCACGGTCTGCTCCCCTCTCTCCCCACTTCTCTCCTCCCTCGCCTCTCCGCCTCTCCTGCACAGGGAGACCGGCTGAGGCTGAGTTCCCACCTTAGGGGTATCCGCAGCCAGCCCCAGCGGCCCTGGGACCCCACCCAGCCCTGTTGAACCTGGTTTTCATCACTCTCCAGTGCATACCGGCCAGTAGCCTAGTGGCTCCCGCTTGGCCTGTATAGGAGCTCAGAAGCCCCTCCCATCTTTTCTGGTCTCCTCTTGAAGATCCTGGATCCCAGACTGGTCCTCCCGGTTACTGGCTACGTATGGCCAAGTCCCTGCCATCATCTCCTGATTGGGTCCTAGCAGCCACTGCAGTCCTGTGGGGGCCTCCGTGGGAGCCCCTGCCGCGGCAGCACCTTGGTGTGTTGGCTGACCTGCCGGCAGATCTGGGACCTTGCACTCGCTGAGCAAGTCTTCTGCTCAGCAGACAGAACTCGGTTACCTCTTGCCTTTGCACTGAGTCTGAGGGCTTTTTAGAACATTCCGGACCATGTAGGTGGCATTGGCTGCTCAGGGAGCACGGCCACCCAGAAAGAGCAAGATGTTGCTTTCAGCAAAGGGAGCGCTAGAAGTCTGGGTGATGGGGACCCGAAAAGCATAAGGGAGGTGGCCAGGAGGAGGGGAGGAGAGAAGGAAGGAAAGTACTTTGTTTTCTTTACGAGCTGGGCAGTCAGTTGTGGTCACGAGAAGAGACGAGAGCAGCTCAGGAAAGATTGTGCTGTGCTCTCAGGTCCTGGAGACGGGGACACAGCACCCAGGGCCACGTGGGCGGACGCACCAGCGTGGTTAGGAGGCTGAAGATGGGAATTGGCTAGCCCCCAGCCAGAAAGGTGTTTTCTTAGGATATCCCAATGTCCTAAAAATATACAGAAAATTAAACGTTTACAGAAGGAGAGGGCCTGGACTGTGGGTGTGGAGCTCAGAGCATGGGGTGTGTTGGGCAGAGCCGTGAGGGCCTCGGGGGGAGGCAGGGGTCCTGGGGACCCTGAGATGGGCAGGTAGCCTGGGGCGGGGCTGCTGAGGGTTCCGAGCGTGGGCTCCGGAGCCTGGAGAGCTGGCAGCTCTCAGCGGGGGCACTGGGCCTGCTCTGGGCCTCGGTTGCTTATCTGCAGACGGGACATGTAGTACTGTTTTTGTCCTGTTTGGCCTGTTCTGGTGAAGGTGGGTTAGCAGGCGGGAGGTGTTAGCAGCCCGGACACCCTGCTTGGTTTTAGTCCGTGCCCGGCTCAACGCTGCAGAAGGCTCAGCTCCTCCCTGCTGGCCCGCGGTGTCCGGCCGCCTCTGGTGACAGGTGGCAGTGTTCCAGCCTCTCCCCACCGCGCCTCCCTCTTTGCCAGCGGCTCTTCCATCTTGGCCTGGGTCACCTCGCCTCCCCACCGGCCGGTGCCCTGGGTCCCACGGGGAGACGATGGGCCACGTGGCTCCCCTGGTGTGAGCTGGGGCTGCTGGCCCGGGGCAGGTGCAGGTCCTGTGGAAGGTGGCATCTGAGGACTCAGCTGCGGCTCAGTCACCTGCTGGGTCGTGAGGCCGAGGGTGTCTGTCGGCCTGGATTAGCGCGGACGCGTCTCTCCCACGAGTCCTCACCCTGAGCTGAGTCACAAATAGAACTGCTGTCTGCCTCTGGCCATGAGGCCACCCCGTGCAGGGGTGTGTGGTCCAGAGGCGGCCGAGCCTGCTCGGGGAGGAGCCCTGGCCTGCTTGCAGGTCCGTCCCCTGGCGCGGACAGATGCCTGTTGTACATCCCCACCACGTGCACGCCTGTGGCCCTCCTTGCCCCACGTGCACACCCGTGCTCCTCCTCCCCTTGTGCGGACTTGTGCTCACACACAAGGGGCCTGTCTGGCCCCGTGGGTGCTTTGCTGGTGGCGTCTTTCCTGTTTGTACGTAGAGCCTTTGGGAGCCCTGCTGGCCGGGGAGCCGAGTCTGTCCCTCCTTGGGCCCACCTTCCATTCCAGGCAGGGGTGCTGAGCTCCCTGTGGGGGACCCCCGGGCTCTGTGTGGTGGCCTGTGGCCCCTGTGGCGCCCCGTGGGGGCAGGAGGATGTGGTGTAGAGCCACAGGCCACCCCTAGTTCCTGCGGCAGACAGCCCCCCCCATCCTCCATCCCCGGGGGAACTCGGCTCTGCCCTGGGGGTCGGGGTCTGTGGGCTCGTGGGTCTGGGTGTGAAGTGGCTTCGAAGCTCCTCTGCATCCATCTTTGAGGGCCCAGGGCAGGTCTGGGGTGAGCGTCCAGCTCCCGCGTCCTTCCCTGGCACGGGACACCCTGTGCCCTTCCTGTTTCTAGCTGTGTCGTTCTCTGTGCTGCAGAGTCGCGGGAGACAAGTGCAGTGTGTTCTCACACGAGCACCCAGCGTGTCGGGCCAGTACTCGGTCCGGGGCCTGAGCCGGGCAGTGCCGGCCCCGGGACTCAAGCCCAGCGAGGCAGGCAGGTTGGGGCAGGCCTGGAGGAGGATGGGCCTGGCCAGGGCTGTGGGAGGGGAGAATGTCAGCATCACTGCTGAGCACGGTGGACACGCTGGGCCGGCGCGCAGGCTGCCAGGAGGCACTCTGGGGGCTGACGAGGCTGTGGCAGGAGAGGGTAGGGAGGTGGCGCTGGGACCAGGCCGGCCCCCGGCTGCGGTGGAGGGACGTTGCTGCGGGGACCCCCGGAGCAGGGGAAGCCCACACGGAGCACGTGTGCCCGTCCTCTTCATCTTCCGGCTCCGTGGCTGCAGTGCTGTGACCTTGGCTTTCAATTGGGAGCAGGTGCAGGCGTGAAGCCTGTTCACCAGAGGGCGGCAGAGCTGCGTCTCTTTTCAGGCCAAGCCCGATTCCGAGAGGCCGGTCCTGCCGCGGGGCGAGGAGCTCCCAGCACGGATTCCCAGGGCTTTCCAGGCGCTGTCTTCAGGGAGTTTGTAAAGCTCCCCCTCTGAAGACTTTTCCCTCCTTCTCCAGTGTGAGGGAGGGTGTGACAGAACCCACCCAGAAAGTTTCATCGCTTCTCCCCGCGCCACCTCGAATGTGAAACATGCAAGGAGAGGGGGTTCTTGCTCTCTGGGCCTGGGCCCAGGCCAGGAACGTGGGGGCCTTGCTGGTGGCCGCCTGGGGACTGCTTTGGCTGAGGGGGTGTCTGGTTCCCCCGTGGCCTTCGTGCCGTCTTGAAGCCCACAGTGGAGGCACCCCGGAGCTCTTCAGTAGGCGGTGCATGCTGTCCGCCCGTTGGAGGTGGCTGCAGGCTGCTGGCTGTGAGCCCCT